AAGCAGCGAAAAGGCCGCGATAGCTTTTGACTGCAAAGTTTTCATTAACTATGCTAAAGCAACCTGTTGCTTACGGACTTATTGAAGCAGTCCATAGCATATTGTACGCAGGCAACTGGCAGAAATAATTCGTTTTCTTTCGGAATTTGATTATGCGGAGAGTGTCTGGTCGTAAAATTTAGTAAACGGTTGAAATTGTTCAGGTGGTGGCGCCATTGAAATGGAATTGTCACGTCATCTGAAAGAAATGTCTGGAAAAATCGTAGGCAAAGAGCAATTCTTCTGGAAAGCTTTCGCTAGAATGTTTGAGGTTCGTTGATTTGCGTTGAGTATTACTTGTTGTTGATAATTGGAAGTTGCTGATTAATAATAATGGGAACTTGTAAACATTTGAACTGGTTGGGAGTTGGGAGTATTACCTGATTAACTTTATTAAATAACACTAATCACAAAACTGATGTACTGATATACAAATTGATCGGATTGATATAGTGACAGATTGATCTAGTGAATCCAGAGGGTGTTGTTGAATTTGTAGTTGAATTTCCAATTTTTGATTAGAACTGCTTTTTGGATTGGAATAGTGGTCGCTATTGTTGGCAGTAGTTTTTTTGATATCATTGTGATTAATGTTATTTAATAAAGTTAATCATGACTAGAGGCACTAAACAGAAGTTTAGTGCCTCTAGTCATGATTAACTTCATCATTATTCTTATTGTTTTATAGGTAATATTATTATTGCTATTATAATCGGATGAGATTCGCGTATTTTCAGATAATTCCACAGCAGTTGTGCTATAATGCAGGCATAGACGCCACGGATATTCTCAACAAACTTCGACATCGCCATGCGAATGGTGACAAATGGAGCGGTGTTGACATAAACACGGAATCGGTTCGGAACAATCTCGATGCGTGCATCTGGGAACCGGCACTCGTCAAGAAGGTTTGCTTCCTTGTTCCGAGTTCATCAGAAGTTTAGTGACTCTAGTAATCAAAAGAATCACAAGGCGTTGGGAATGGAAGAAATTCTGATCGAATCTTATGATTCCAGTTTTCCAAGACAATGCCGGAATTCTCATACTCACCATATTTATGTCTGCGATTGCATTCACTTTTGAATGACATCAGTCTTTTCTTCTACACAAATTTACATAATTTACCATATTGCATTCCCATTTTCAAACTTTCAATAATTTATAGTTCCAATAATTTATAATAGTTGACGAAATTAGACACAGTTGGATGGGTGCATAATTTGCCGTAACGGTTTGAATGATGGCAGTAAAGTTGATGTTCATAATGAAATTTTACTCAACTTAGGCGAGATTGTGATTTGAGTGGTGCTTAATTATTCATTCGTGCAGTCATGATCATGATGAGTAGTTTTTTAAGATTGTCCTGTAAATTCACCTTCCTTCTTGCAGAACGCCATCGTAGCGGCTACAGAAGCAGCGTGTTTAGTGTTGAGCATCGACCAGACAGTGAAGAATCCTCGTGCCCAAAGTGGTGGTTCTATGCCAGGTATGCCTGGACAGCAGTGATAGAGAAATAATATGACGATCAATCAGTCGATGTTATGCTATCATAAGTGGATAAGTGAACTCTGTTATGTTATTCTGTATTGTTGCTTTATCGATTTCTATTCACAACTGATGTCAAAACTGATCATTTGTTCTGCAATAAGCATAAAATCACAATCGATCAGTAAAACGTTTGTTGACATTTGATGGCTTTAGCGGATTTTGTTCGTTTGTTTGTTAAAAATTCACTTTTCACATCAGTGAAAACATCCTTCGCGAAAGTATTCTGCCGCTCTCATATTATAATTGTTGTTGTTTTTGATAGTGTTGATGAATTATGAGTTGTTATCGTCGAGATTTAGAAGCGATGAAAGAAATTCTAAAGGTTACATGTGAGATGTGACTGTTTTGCGCGAAATGGAAACGTTTTGTTAGATTCTCATGAGGAAGTTGTTTATTTCAAATCGGTGAAGCTAGAGCATTTGAATTGGGAATTGTCGCATTATATGCGGAAGAAACCTTTCAGTAAGATTAAATTACTTCTGTTAGTTGAACTCAGAAATGAGTCTGAATAACAGTTATAAGCAATAGCTGAAGGTGATGATGATTTTGAGATGAATTCCTTGAAGTCAGTTAGAAACCGTTTGATGTGTGATTGGAGTCCAAATGTGACAGGGAAAAATGTTTTGTTCATCAAATGGTCATGAGCATGATATTTGTGTAAATCATTGATTGATGACATCAAATTATTCATTATTGTTATCGTTATTGTTGCTGTTGTTATGACCATTATTAAAGTTATTATTGTATTGTTGCCAGTTATGTTTCATCGCTTTTATCTCGCTTTGCTTGCACTTTAAACAAGGAATCATTCATAATTTTGGATTTTAATACGACATCATCTGTTTTGTTGAAAGTTTTAAATTGTTAACCGAACTCAATAAATTTATCCATTTGCGCATTCCAACGATCAATTTTTCAAGATAACATTTGAATTTTTCTGTTCGTATAGATGAGAAGTGGACG